ACTAACTGTCGGCGTTTTATCCGCTCCGGTGGTGTGTAATCCGGCTGAAAAAAAACTCCTTGGTGGGAATATTTTAACCTAAAACGTCTTGAGAGGATAAGATCAACATGCTCTTTGCAACTCAGAACAATTTTAAGGGGCCTAGGATGCGGTGGAATAGCGGGTTCAGTAGAGCGCTTTCCGAGTCTGAAGGCTTTCAACACGGAAATTTCTTCATCGGGTTGAAGCAGTGTGTTTAGAAGACCTTGGAACAAGCCGAGATCAGCTAATACGCGTTCGTTAGGTGTATCTGCTTGAGGCTCCTGAAGTCCCTGTATTACTAGGCACTGTTCTCGGAGCGGCCGGTCTTGGTTGCGTGATGTTGGTGACTTGGGAGTTCCTGGCAAACCATTCATGATGACATTCTGGTTGCCATCCACTCCAGGGATCTCTTCTGCAGCTAATGGTTTCGTGTTTGGGGCAATACTGCTCCTGTCTTTTATGTCAATACACAGGATATTCGCATTTGCCGCGTCTGTGTCTACGCTGGCGCTGGAGGTTTCCGTCGATTGCTCAGACGAGCTCTGCTTTTCCACCCCAGGAAGTTCCTTTCTTCGGGTACTCCGAAGTCGTCCGATTTCCGTCTCTCTCTTCTCAGTCATCAGTCCCCTTTGATTTAACTGCTTCTTTTGATGTGACCTCAGTTGCATGTGAACGGTCTGAGTCTTATTATTAATTCCTTGGTTTTCCTCGGTCACATTGCGGGGGGCAGTGAGCGTCTGCTTTCTGCTCTTCTGCGGCGGATTAATATCATGCCTTGTCATATTCTCCGCGATTTCCTCTGAGGTTTCCGTCCATGCAGTAGTCTTTTCTATGTCGAATCCTTTTACCTTCTTCTGTGGTGGAGATCGGACAGCTTCTACTCTGCCGGTGAGCTGGTCATTGTTCTTCAGCTGGGTAGTTCTCAATGATGAGAGTGTACTGCCATTATCACTTCGCAACTTAGTTTGCGATTTTGGAGTGTCGTTTATCATCGCTCTTGGTGAGGGTGAGGCTGTATGTTCATGTTTCCGTTTACCTTTTCTCTTAGCACTCTGTTTATTTCTGCAGCCAGCGATCTCCTGAAACGGTGATCCCTCTACTAGTGGGTTGCTGTTAGTCAACTCTGTCAGTTTCGAAACTATCGGTTGGCTACTGCTGAATTCATCAATTGACTTGAATTTATCATACTTTAGTAACAATGCAATGAGATCTATAAGGAGGTTCATGTTCGTCTCCAACGACGTAATGTTTAACGCGAGATCTCGACAATATTTACACCGCGAACCACAATTTAAAGGTTCATCATCTGGTAAAAAATCTTGTGTAGGCGTGGCGAATTTCCCGGGATAATTTGCGTTGCGGGCCACCTGCGTCCTGTTTTGAACCACTTCTGGCGTACTGCGTTCGTTACATCCTCCTTGCCCGGCGTGAATCGACGCTGGTCCGCATGGAGTTGCTAGTGCACGATTTTCATGGCAAAATCCGGCACATTCCCCAACCGTGGGGCTAATGCAATTAATATTCTTTGTAACCATTGCCTCGGTGCCGATGGCCGAGGGGTCTAGGCGTTCGCCTCGTGAGGCGACGGTCGGGGGTTCGACTCCCGCTCCCCACACCCCTTTTTCATCCCGCGGGACTGATGGATCGTACACTTCTACATTTCCCATGTCTCAATGCGCCAAAGTCAAGGATACAACAACGGCCGAAAGGTTGGCAGCAGAAGACAGACACAATCAAAAGAAGGCCTAAGGCTTTCAGCTGTCAGGGAAGCTTTAGGCAACGGAAATCTAAGCGAATGCTCCGAGACTTCAGACAACAGAAACCTAGTCGAATTTAACGGCACTACAGTTAACAGAAATTTAAGCTAATGCTTTGAAGCAAAGGTACAGCTAAAGTCTAATTTCGAAGTGAGACTCAGCCTTTGTTCTGGGCGTTTCGTTTGCTGGAAGATTGGTCTTTTTAGGCTCGTATACGAGCATATATGCAGAACTGTTAGAGTCGAAGTCCACGTTCTGCAAAGGTGGTGTCGTAAATTGATGACGATGCTAATATTGCTGTCTGTGAATCAATTTTCTAAAATCCGTTTGACTGCAGGAGCATCCAGAGTGCGGAAATCTCGAAGAATATTAACCCCTCGGAGGACGAAAATTTGAAACCAAATTCGAAACGCGCGCGCGTAGATGAATGATATAAATGTTCACAATTTGCTGCACTCGAGTAACCTCTGATGATGAACTCTATTTCGAGTTCGAAAGCTCAGGCAAATACACCTTCTGTCCCAGTGATCGTGCTTTCGCCTTCTTTTAAACAAGAACCTGGGATGCGTATATTCTCTTCCATTCGTGATAATCATAAGTATCGCGTTCTCTCTCTTTTCCTTGTGTATCGGTGGATTTGAGCAGTCAGCCAGTTCGCTGGTTATATTCCTTCAGAAGAAGCCCATCCGCGTCATGCTTACCTTCCGATTATGCTTATTCCGCTCTGATGTGCTTCCCGCCACAACCGTCGACGAGTGTATGCATACCGCGACTTTTGATCGCTTTCTTGGGAAGCTCTTTCACGCGTCGGGACAGAAAACATCGAAAACAACAGCCATACGCACTTGTCTACCAAGTTAACACGTTGATGTTTCATGAGTTCCTTTGGTATAAAACCGATTTTTCAGTATTTTCTCCGTAATATATCGATAAATGAAATGGGTTTGATGGGAATTTTAACTATGTTAATATAACATTGCTCTCGTTGCTCAGGTTATTGGGAGTCATGAATGACTCTGCCGTAGCCCGTTTGCCACTATGTCGCGTTCTATGACTGTGTGCAGAAGCATATTCTCCAAAGCGCAATTCTTTTTGTCAATTTTAATTTGACCGAGATCGTCAGGAGTTTCGAAATCGTATTACATTTGCAGGCGATCACTAACTTTTTTGAATATTACCGAGAACGTCGGTTTATCATAGCCTTTACTATCAAGAACCTATGTGGTTTTGTTTAGTGCACTCTGGAGTTTCCCGTAATCTCTCATAGTCAGAGTCCAGTGGCTATAGGTACCTTTTCTTCTTGCCGTTATTATCTTTCCGTTAAGTAGAACAGTTATATTGCCTTACGCTAATATTAGTGGGATATTTCGCAAGAAACTTCCAGACGATAGTTGCCGATTCCTTAAGTCTCCATTGCATTAAATTCCCATTGCCGGCGCTTTATTTTGATGCAAAACGCTTCACCTGTGGGGCTCGCAGTACTCTGATGTGCCCCTAGGGCAAGCCACGCGAGGTACACGCTGGACAAACTCGGGAGCCAGATAAGTGCCCGACATGCATTAATCGAGGTGCTCAAAATGTACGCATCGCATCAAAAATACCACTCATGGGAGTGTGGAGAGGGCCCAGGCGTAGGTTCACGCCACTCAAGCAACTTGCTCCCAGTACCGACATCGGACAGTGAACTAATGCTTGGGAGAGGGAAGA